TGTTTTTCGTTTGAGTTTTTCAGGGTTTTTCTTTATAAAGGCATAATGAATCTCCTGGATGGTCGGCAACGCCTTCGTGATGTCTGTATTGTTGCAGGTGCACTTTAGCTTTTTTCTTTTTTATTTTTTTTTTAATTCTATCGCGATGAAAATCCTCATGGACTTCCCATGTCGGACGACGAGGGGGCGTACCGGACTTTTACCAGCTAAAACCACCGCGGTGTTCCTTCACCGCCTGTGACCGTGACCAGGGTTGCCCTTACAGAATCACCACTCCCGGCAGGCCTCAACCTACCGCTATGTTTGCAACAGGTCCCGTCCCGACCTTAGCGCCTAGGAGGCTGCTTCCCTTCTTCAAGTAACGCGCGTGGAACCCTACGCTAACGCCTAGGTCCGGTCAGGCGCCCGCAGGTCTCCCCTACGGCTACGGAGGTCAGGTGCACTTTAGCTGCCACGACCTGTCAACACCCCACGGCTGTTACAAAAAATAGGTCACGGAAAATGTTTAAATTATATATAATTAGGTATATGGTAAATTACTAAAATTTTAAATCCACACATTATCTTCTAAAAACCCCAGGGTGTCATTGGTACCAAATTTTGAGACTTAGCATAACAAATAATATTAATGTCTTCTTGGAAACTGTAATAGTTGCAATTGTCACTCGTTGTCGGTGGCAGTATATCGATCGAGTCTTTGTTCAAACTATTTAAAGGATAATCGGTATCGATTATAGTCATACATTGATTATGAACTTATGACTGACTGATCACTGAACTTACATTTCTACAACAGTTCGTACATACCTATAAAATCAATAAAATTTAGTCGTTACACTGCTTGTACTTATACGACTGTTGAGGTTTAACACTTGATGCCAAGGTTGCTAAATTGTTAATGGTATCACAAAGGCCATCAATATTCTGTTGATTCGGTCGAATGATCTCAGTAAGTCAGGCCGCAAGTGGTTTTAGTTGCAATTCTGAGTTGTAATTTGAGTTCAATGATCCTCTACTGTTACTATCGTAGGTACATTTGTTTCCAGAAATACTTAAGCCGGTAGACGAGCAGACGGATCACCTGATGGTAAGCAATCGGCGTCGCCCATGGACACCTGGAACACCGAACACCAAGTGCGTTGTCGGCCTGGGGATTAGGAATTTGATGATTATTGGGGATTTGGGGATTGAGGAGATTTGGAATTAGGATATACACATTGCAAGCGTTGTTTCACTTCGCTTTTCTGTGAGGCCGTGGTGTTACTCCCGCGAGCCGGGCTATTCGTGCCGAAGCATAGCTTCCCCACACTTGTGTCTCTCATAATCATAATGGTGTAACTCTGCCTACCCCTTTGCCGAATGAAAAGTGCTGTAATTATTCTTATCACTATTTGTAATATTTTGGTAATATTTAATTTGACAGATTTCTTTCATTAATTTCATGAACCGTAAAGACTCTTTATAAAATTCACTTCAAGACAAAAATATGAAGGGTTTCACATTTAGTTGCAATGCATAAGGTACAACAACGCCATCTAGTGATGGCAATAGTGAAACAGTGCTGTCATATTTCATTCCATGACGGCTACCGTTTAATGTTGCCAAGTTAGGCACTGCTGTCAGTTAATTCTGTTTAGTCTAACTTTTTGCCAGGCCATGAAAAAAATGAAAATATCGATCGGCATGGTGTGAATGTAATAGTAATGTTTCTAATTGGACACATTTTATTCCATTCAAATTTAATAAATATCAGTCGTTTTAAATAATCGTTGATAAAAAAACACGCACTGGTTGGTAGTCTCGACAGCAATGATTCCGACAGTAATCACTCGCTATATCTTACTAGGTTGCCGAAGAGGACTTAACGGGTTGCCGGCTTGAAGGACAGGGTATAGGAACGATGTTGTTTTTAGTCAGTAAATAAAGTCTGACCCTCTCTCACGAGAGCAGCCATTCGATGATTTTCCCCCTTAAAAAAAAGTTTTTAAATTTTTTTTCTATGTAAACTTTATTATATTTAAAAACTACATAATATTTATATTGACATTATAGATATACCTTATTATGATTAAACCAAAATGATTATTATAAATAACTAAAATATTTACACCATGAAATTACCTTTAAAAAAATTATTATATTACTTAGTTTATTTTCGTTCATTTTTATTTATTGTGTTTTTTCTTCAAAATCTCTTGCATGGCTGTGTAAATTAGAGTAACGTTAATATCTAGATCGAATCGAAGTCTGTGACTTTGTAATCAGTGCTTTGTAACCAAAATATTGTGTCATCGTTACCAATATCGGGAGTACCAGCGTGTATTTACATGCCTTTTATAGACTATCGAGAGTATCATCCCAACTCTAAATATAATATCTGGCAATATTTTACATGTTCCTTAGGGATTGACCATAGATATTAGATGTACCTAATATACCTTTATCATAATATCAGTGGTATTAAACAGGGATGAATCGGCTTCCTAATATTCCTAATTTTGAATAACAACTACGTACTCAGTAATTGTCATATTATTATGCTAGCAGTAAACGCAAATTTGCAATAAAAGTTGCACTGTTAATTTATTATTATTAGTTGGTCATGGTGGAGTACATAATGATCGATGCACCTTTATTCATGTACGTAGATGGAGTAATTGCAATGGCATTTACACGTCTACAATAAATTATTAAGTAAAGAAATGTTGTACACTAGCTTTTACCCGCGGCTTCGCTCGCGTCACAAAAGGATAAAAAGTAGCCTATGTGACATATACACACAGCGCCATCTATACCAATGATTACGTTTTTCCTCGAAAATATCAAATTTTTCCGTAATAATAAGTACCATATTAATTAATGCAGACTTCTAACTTTACGTCTGCAAAAATTCAAAGCAATCGGTTTAGTAAGTAGTTACGGCGTGAAAGCGGAACAAACAAACAAACTCACTTTCCGATTTATAGTATTAAGTGAGGATTTGTACCTAATATAATACCTACTCTTCAAGAGCATAACAGCCATGAACATTAATTATAATAATAATACTAGTAACTTGTATCTAAGAATATATTAGTCACGAACGTCTCTAGTGCGCCACTGAAATGTCAAACTCTGATGTCAAATCAAAAGTCAATTGTTTGTTGTCAAGTACCTACTAGTAGCGGTTTATTTTGTATCGATCGGCCGTACTGCGACTGCGCGATTTCTTAATCTTTCCTTCGAAACACATCGCGTGTGTGAGAACTGTGAGATACTGAGATTGTGTGACTTTTCTCCAGAAATTCAATACCTAATAAGGTTTCCTCTCACTAATATTTGTGCAGTTTTCATGTGTGCTGTGTGTTTTGTAAAATGTTCTCTAAGTGCCGGCCAGCTGGTTTCATTTATTATTTAATTTATTTGTCATAAAACAACAATCGAATAACAATATTGATCCAACTGCAGACAATTAGCTATAAACGTACAAATACTTTTCTTAAAAATACTTTGCAAAGTAGTTTGAGACATGTAATATTTTCAAATTTCAAATTACCTACATATATTTCTATTTAAAAATTGTAATATAACTTGCTTTATATATACCTACTTACTTGTAATAAACTCGCGAAATATAAGTGGTCAAGTTTTTAAGTCGGATATCTAATAATTAATAGTCTAGCTATCTTCAGTCTAGATCTGCAGACCATCATGGAACAGGGCGAGGCGAGTCCTTCCATTTTCAGAACAAAGGGATGATTAGCACATGGTGTATTCAACAATACGTTACAAAAAAACCATTAATAACCTTGTTTTAAATCTTAGCTTATACTTATTATATAAAGCTGAAGAGTTGGTTTTTGTTTTTTGTTTGAATGCGGTAATCTCTGGAAGTACTTTTCCGATTGGAATAATTATTTTTGTGTTTGATAACAATCATGCATTAATCGAGGAAGGGCTATAGGCTATAAAACATCATGCTACAATCAATAGGAAACGAGTAGAGCGGGTGAAATCGCGCGGTAGGGAATAGGTAGTCTTTTTTAGAATGAAATCTTATGATAGGTCCAGTTACCGGGGCTCCGGCTCGATGTGAGGGATGGAACAGGGTGATTTTTAGTTAGTGAGAGTCTGACACTCCCTCCTGCCTCACATAGGCGGGAGCAGTCATTTGATGTCATTTTTTCCCCCTTAAAAAAAAGCCAGTGGCTTATCCTTTATAAATATGTTTTGTTTTATTCTGGTTTTTAGCAATAGTATTATATTATTCAGATGCAATGTATTTAGTGAAATTAAATAGGACATTCTATAATATTGAAATAGAACCTATTGCCAGTGAGGCATATCAATGTCATTCTACGAAGCTGAACAAATGTGATATTCTTAATGACTAGAGCCTAGTGGGTTGCATCATGGCTGATATAAGGATATAAGGTGACTAGAATTCATAAGAAAAAAAATACCCCTTTTTAAAGCCTAGCACTTCATAATGAAATACTTAATAAAAAAAATGGCTCATGACGAACTACCAGCATATTTGTGAACTTTAATACAAGCTAAGCGATGAATGCAGCTGAGCCGAGCGTGCTGTGCGACCATTAGAGAACATTTATTTATTTATTTATCATGCTATCAGCTATAGTTTCCTTTTATTAAGCTACTTGCTAGGTGACTCGCTTAGACTCAATTCTAAGTGTTAAGCAAGCCATATGTTTAAGCAGATGTAAACTAATAACTTTAAAAAAACTGCAAAGTTTTTTACTGGCACTGAATAATAAAACTGCTGTTTGGGTAATTTCCACTACTTGATTATTTCAGAATTAATTTCTAAAGGTAATTCACATTCACAAGTTCCTTGACTATACATATAGCCCAGAACAAAAATTTATTGTTTATGCACATTGCCTAAGGTCTTATACGATATTGAAAAAGAATGGCATGTAGTGTTTTACATTAAATACATGTCTTTACATGTCTCCACCTGTTTCATTTATATGTATTGTTTATAGGACCATTCTTCCTGGCAGTCAAATAAAAATTGGGCTGTTGTCCACCAGAAATTAATCATCATTAACAGCCTATAACTGGCCACCGCTGACCAAAGGCATTTTCTCGCTCGGGGAAGTTTTGAGCATCAGTCAGCACACTTGCTCAATGCGAGTTGACAATTTTAAACTTATAATTAGAAATTATCAGCCCAGGTTTGCCCTTCTTAGGTCAACATAGGTATTCTAATAAATGAGATAACCGGTAAATCATAGAGAGTACCGAGCCTGCCTACTACTTAATTGTTATTGCAAACACACAAAAGCTCGCACTTTCCTAATATTAGTGAGATTGAATCGCATATTTTTAAAGAATATTTAGTAAGATGAGCAGTGACGAAGATTATGATAATCTGCCGAATATAACTTTATTCGAGCCGACACCTGGCTGCAGTAAAGATGATCCACCATTGGTTAAAAAAAAGGTACGGGAATTTCGTACAGTTGATATTTATATTTTATTTTAATGTTTATATTGTAGTCGTGTGAGCGTCACGACTGCAATTGAACTGCAAACCAAACGTGAAAATTGCAGTTCTATTGCAGTCGTGACCAAACGAGCAGTACCTACGGTTGCAGTTTTATTGCAGTCGTGACAAATGCGTCCAAACTGCATATGAACTGCATTTTGCAGTTGAAATGCGGTTCGTCTGTTTAGAGCCTTATCCTGTCTTACACTCCTACCCAACCAGCAACGTCACTCGCGTTCATAAACAAAAATTAGTATATATTATATCATCATCATCATTTTGTTCATTGGAGCAGGCCAATCATATTGCCGAACGCGATTCGTTAGACGTAAAACAAACTCGTTCTGGGCCCTCAGACTTCAAAAGATTTTATGACTGCTTTGCGTTATTATGAGAATTTCAAAGATCAGAATATCCGAGTACGTAGATATTTAGGGCCTAGTTAACCAATATCTGGTCACTGTAATGCTTTGTTCGCACTAGAGGTATGCTAGTAATTTGGTCGAGTAGCGAGTATTTAGTAGTTCTGTTTCGCGATAGTCCGGACATCAAAGCGAGAGAGAGAGATTTAGGCGAGTAGTGACTCGCTACTCGACTAAATCACTGGCGTAGTGCGAACAAGGCATATTAGGCACGAGTGCGGGTCTGCGACGGCGCGCGAGGATAGCTCGTACCCCGACTAAAGACTGACCCGAACATACGTTCGAAGCAATGACATTTACTGCGGTCCGGTCCTTCGGAGATGGAGATGGAACGATAAGAGTCTGCAACAGCCTCACTCCTGTCAACCAACTGGCGACTGCGCGATTTATGTATTTCCATGTCATGTATTGGCGCCCTTAGTAGTACATGCCTAAATTGTCTGACTTAGTTGTCAAAGCCGAATGTTTTTACTTTGCACAGCGAAGCAATGACTACCTATACATAACTAGTTATTTTATTCAAAGAGGTAATATCTTGCTTTACAGTGCAAAGAATTCGTAGTACCTCCAGCGGAGGAGCTCTTGAAGGAGAGAGAGAAGCTGCGTAAGCTGAAACTAGAGCTGCAGTCTTTCAATTGCCCAGAAATTGAACCTCGCTGCGACTTGGACGCTGAGCTGCGTGAGGTTGGTTTGATCGAGGTACAAGGTCCGTTGTGGCCAGCGCAGCGCCCCATCCCAACCGCTCGCGAACTGTGGAGCACGATGAGCCCATATCTGATGACCCGCGGTGTCACCTTGGACAAATTGCCTAATCGCCTGCCAAAACTTACGGCCGCTTTAACAACCGATACGGGCGACCGAATCATTCCGCCAGCCGATTTTGGATGGTCCGACAGTGAAATGCTGGGCGCCTGCGTAGTGACGCTAGTTGCTACCATTGCCAGAGAATCCCACATAAAACGTGTTGCGGCACGAACATTGCAGACGCTCTTGGACTACCACGCGAGTCATGTACAGGTCAGTTGCTTAAGATATTATTATTAGAGAGAAAGAAACAATGTGATTAAAAATTGAAATTTAGCAAACGATGAAAGAGTTCTTTACAAAAACATTAGAACAATCAACTATAGAGAAGATTTAGGTAAAGGACAATGCCAGTCAACTATATGTATAGGTACTTAGGCACTCATTGATAAATTTATTGTTGATACCATTATTATTTTGTCTTACAGTTGGAAGACTTCTTGTTAATGATAGTGAAATCATTCCCGGATCCGCGCATGCGCCGAGATATCGGGGATATGGTGATCAATGGCGCAGGGCTGGGTGCCGACCGCGTGTCAAGGGCTCTGTTCTACACCACCTTGCTTACGATTATTCATAAAGCGAACCCTAATGCTGGTATCGCAATAAATAAGTACAAAGTCGGCGAATCTAGTAAATCTTGTCAACCAATTAAAACTGAAACTAATGAAGCTAGTGGTGCTATTCAGGTTGGTGTGATTAAATATTGCGGTAAGAGTGAACCTTGTGACACCCCAGCTGCACCTGCACCTGCACCTGCACCTGCAACCCCACCTCCACCTCCACCTAGCGTCGGTAGTGTGGAGGACGACGATGTACAAGTGACCGTAGCAAACGTGATAGAGGGCGACTCCTATCCACTGCTGCGCGTTGCTGAGGCAATTCCGTTCTGGCGCCGCTGCACAGACGCCGAGCGTTATGAGGTCATCAAGCTCGCAGGCCGTTTAATGGCCGATTCGATGTCTTCGGACGGTACGGAAGCCACAGCAAGGGCACGGAAGCTATTGCTCAAGAATATCAAACAGACAAAAACCCAGCATGCGTCGCCTTATCACCAGTATAAGGTAAGCAGACGTAATATAATCATATAGGTATCTATTTTTTTGTATGTTTTTCCAATTAGAATAAATACAATATTTTTTGTTTTTGATAAGTACATATTTTCCTTTGACCACATAATCAAAGTCGAGGTCGAAAAACTACTCTTTTAGAACCGTAACTAAATGTCAATGAATCTATTTATAATAATAAACTAATTAGTCCAATAGAATATTACAATCAGTCATTATTGTAAGGTATCATAATAATACTTACTTATAATAGGTATCATAATAATACTACCTTAAGGCATTCACTGTATTTTGTGAAGAAGAAATAAATAAATAAATAAATACTTTAGCACTTGACCTACGTAGTGTTTCTACGAAGAATTCAGTAACTAAATTGCCGTCGTACTGTGCATGAGGTCAGATTACTTCTTGTCCTTCATTCGTGGACATCGTGGGCCAACGGGTAACAAAACTTTATTGTATATTTTCTGCTTTTCAGGAACGTGTGGAGATCGGGAAACTGGACATCTTGTTCTCCGACAAATACTGAAGACCAAAAACAACCGAACGTATAATCTAAATAGGTGACGAGACCGCTCGTAGTAGTTTACCCAAAACCTTCAAAACTCTTATTTCAACATTAATTTATCATCTAATTATTTATTTAACATGGTGTGTCTAGTCATTTTCTCTCACCCAGTCAATGCTTTGAAACAGTAAAAGCAACTCTAATCAAGTTACTCAAACTCAGGCCTAAGAACCTAAAAAATAATTATTTTAAACGTAGGTATATGTACATAATCACAAACGGCATCCTGACGCTATATTAATCATGGCAGCGTCGTCAGAAATTCTAGAAATAAAAAAATAGAATTCGATCTCCGTGCACCTTTATATTCGCTGCAGCAGTGAAGTAACCGTCAGTGAGTACCTAAGTTAATAACCGGCAACGTAATGCCGAAAACCGTAATTTAAGTAAATATTATGTCGACACTAGGACGGAGACAGTAGCATAGATAGGTAAGCACCTACCCAAGTAGGTACTAAGGTAAGTTTCAAGTTAACAAGTCTGATTGTGTAAGGTTCTCCTGTCCAATTGCCAACATATTTATGTTTTTAATGTATTTGATACAAAAATGATATAGTCATTCAACTATTTAATAATGTAATGACTTTGTGATGAATTTTAAAACACTTTTGTGATCGATCTGAGATCAAATTTAGTATGTAGGCATTTTTCTATCTTGTGTAATCTTTAAGATTTTTGGAATTGTATTTTGTAATTGTTGTTAGCGGTACGTGAAGTGTATGTCGGAGCTAGACCTACCATAATATTTTTAAGACATGAGATCTAGTTCCGAGATAGGTAATTTAAGTACGAAAGTAAGTACGTAACTGTATGTGGATGGAAAGCGCGGCCAAAGAAAACCTGCAGAGATTGTGTGTGAGCAATGATATGAGAGAGTTGAGGTATGTATTGAGGTGTTAACTGTGTGTTTGACTGCACGGTTGGTGCGGTGGCTGGGCAACCGGCTGCCGTACAACGTGTCGGTGGTTCGATTCCCGCACGGAACAACACTTTGTGTGATCCACAAATTGTTGTTTCAGGTCTGGGTGTCATGTGTATGTGAAGTTGTATGTTTGTAAACGCACCCACGATACAGGAGAAAATCCTAATGTGGAACGTTTAAAAAAAAAATCTAATAGGAGAGAATACTAAAAAAGACATTGTGCTGAATCAAAAAGTAGCTTGTTATAAGGGCAGGAATAAGTAGATGTAGGTACATCAGGTATTTAAATGTTTAGATAGGTACCTACTTAGTTCATATAGCAGTATTACTATTCATCAATAATGATTACATTATTATGGATGGGCCGTTTTAGTTTTAGTGTCTCAAAAAGTGAAATGCTCAATAACTTATTTTAATTGCTGTCCAATTGTTGGCACAATTAGCAGCCTAATTTAATGTATTTGATACCAAAATGATATTAATATTTAGTTATTTAACTACACCTTTAGGTAGATACCCCAAAAACAATGTGATGATTTTTTTAACGATTTTGTGATCTGAGATCAAACTTTATTTTATAATTTTTTTCTAACTTGTACTCAACATTTTTGTAGCCATGTTTAATCAATTAAATAATCACGTAGTACATCGCTGGTTATATTAACACTAGTACTTCCTAATCCGTGAACCCTAAATAATGCACAGCAACGCCCAGGAACTAACTGTCATATATTAGGTGACAGTGATAACATAAAATATATGCCATCTATTGACCGATAGAGGTATCATAAAATAACTGTCATCTATTGGCCAGAAGAGATATCATAAGTGAATACCATCTGTTGAGCAGTACAGGTATCATAAAATAGCTGCCATCTATTGGCTGGTACAGTTAATCCTTACTAATATTATAAATTGGAAAGTGAGTTTGTTTATTTGTTTGTTCCGCTTTCACGCCGTAACTACTACACCGATTGCTTTGAATTTTTGCAGACGTAAAGTTAGAAGTCTGGATTAAATAATAGGGTACTTTTTTATCCCGGAAAAATTCATATTCCTGAGGGAAAACAAAAGTATTGGCATAGATGGCGCTGTGTGTATTGGTATATGTCACAAAGGCTACGTTTTATCCTTTTGTGACGCGAGCGAAGCCGCGGATAAAAGCTAGTTAAAATATAAGTGCCATCTATTGGCCGATGGAGGAAGCATAAAATACGTTAATAATAACATATGCCACCAATAGGTGGCATATGTTACTCTACCGGCCAATAGGCCGGTAGAGTGAATTAATGAAAAATATACTCAAAATGTTTCCTTTTCAATTTAACTTTTTCAAAAATTTTGTCGTATTTCGACTTTCATTAATATACCACACACCAAACACCACAATTTATAATAAAAAAATATTTGATGTTACTCTACCGGCCAATAGGTGGCACGTATTTTATGCTTCCTCCATCGGCCAATAGATGGCACTTATATTTTAACTAGCTTTTACCCGCGGCTTCGCTCGCGTCACAAAAGGATAAAACGTAGTCTATGTGACATATACCAATACACACAGCGCCATCTATGCCAATACTTTTGTTTTCCCTCAGGAAAATGAATTTTTCCGGGATAAAAAAGTACCCTATTATTTAATCTAGGCTTCTAACTTTACGTCAGCAAAAATTCAAAGCAATCGGTGTAGTAGTTACGGCGTGAAAGCGGAACAAACAAACAAACAAACTCACTTTCCAATTTATATATTAGTAAGGATTAACTGTACCAGCCAATAGATGGCAGCTATTTTATGATACCTGTACTGCTCAACAGATGGTATTCACTTATGATATCTCTTCTGGCCAATAGATGACAGTTATTTTATGATACCTCTATCGGCCAATAGATGGCATATATTTTATGTTATCACTGTACATATACATATATAATATATTTCGCTTTAGAAATAGAAACATAAACGACGACAACGACATAATGTAGATATCTTTGGTACAAGCCCAAGGAAAGCTAGAACAATGATGAGTAGAGACTTTTGAAAACTTATTTTAAAATGTGTATTCACCTAATTTTTTTCTGTAAACAATTTTCTCGCTGCGTGCCTACTCTTTTTTATTTATTTATAATTTTACTTTTGACTTAGCTGATACCTATTTAGTCACTTCGTGTGAATCTGTAAGTGGCTCAATGTTACTATTTTTCTGCTAAATTTGTAAAATGTAACTGTTGAATCACCATTAAAAAAAACAAAAATTAGTGAATAAAGGAAATTACTTTCGATACAATTCTCAGATATTTTGGTTAACTTAGTTCAAGCACTCAACATAAAATGTGTATCTCTAACGTAGGTACAACCTAATATGTACATAGATAAGTGCTTATTTCAGTTTTTGTTTGAGTAATTCAAACATGTTTAGTTGAGGTATCTAAATAACAGAAATAAAATTATTGAGAAGGAGTTAGAGCTTCTAATAAAACAAGGTATTTTTTTGTAAATGTTTAATGCCTTTTGACGCCGTGACTTATCAGACGGTCTAAAAACCTGCGGTCTATCCTTACAAATAAAGTGACTATTTTTCACACTAAAAAGCTAATATTGATAGTATTGAAAACATTAGCTAATTGAGATCAGCAGTAACAACAATATTGTGACCTGTACATCAGAATTGTGAAGTATTTGTAGCTTGCTTTAAAACTGACCACTATGGATTGCACAGTCTAGTAATTATTTAGACTGTCTACATCCATGATTGCAATCATCATAGACAATTTAAAGCAATAAACATGAAGTAATTATAAATTGTATTACTGTCAATTTATAAATTGCACACAACGCCATCTATTGATTGCAACCAGAAGTCTGGGTACAGGCACGGCTAAAGTTTCCAATGCTAACAACACAGTACATACAGCGAATCTTTATTTAAATAACAATTATAATAAATTAATTATTATAGTGTTACAATCACCGATACTAATCTGATACATATACAATCTTTGGAATGCACTTGTAACTTTATTATGAGTGTACTGTGAGAGATGTTCTTCTAAATTTGTCTGTCTCCTTCATAGACCCAGAAATACTATTATTTCTGTCTGAGTAGACTATCATAAGTAACATACTTAAACTATAAGAATCAAGTAGTAGCGAAACAGTAACACAATCTCAAGAAATTTAGATTAGTATCGACAATTGCAAAATGAATGTTACACATTTATTACCTACAGAAAATTCTGAAACACACAATGCTTGCTTTCTACTATTATTTATATTAAAAAACGGTGTAAATATTCGTTGAAAAAGGGACTGATTATTTTATATCAAGTTACTGATTGCGGGGACAAAGTGAACAGAGTATAAGTAAGAAGTAGGTTTTCGTTTGGATACAAATTCCTTTCTTATGTGACAGTACAATTTCATACAATTATCTTTGAAATTTATTGTTGTGTCAAAATGGTTCCTTCACCAAGACTTAATAATTAATAATACATATACATAGGTACTATTAAATTCGATTGGTTTGGGCATATTCCAACACCCAATACTGAAATCAGTTCACTATTATGTTTAAATCAAGGATCTATTTTGTTTAAGTGAAAACAGTCCTTATTTGCTTTCAAATGTGTATGTTTTATGAAATAATTCAATGTTTTCGTAGAATTAATTGAAGTTACTTTAGTGTTGTCTAAGGAAGCTTACTTGGCACTATGCTATGTGCGTTAACTCCAATATAGGTAACAAATAAAAGGCACATCAAAATACATTTTTCCAAATATTGTTAAATCTTGTCTTTTGTTAATAATTGTATAATAATTCAATATTTAATATACACAACATTATGTATGTAAAAGTCGCATAAATGCATAATTTCGTTTACTAAAATTTGATGTTCATTCATTGTAAAATCTTAATTTTAAGACGCAATTAATAAAATTGCTGTACCCATCACTCTCTTAATGTATTTATCGATTCGCATGCACATAAAACATGTCGATTTATGTAATAAATAACAACTAAATTGTAAGACTGTTAAGGAATGTAATAATTAGGAAACATTTTAAATGTAACAACATGTTAACTTAGGAAAGGCCTAGAACCCGGCCTATGTAAATGCATCACACATCAATGTAAATAAAAACCTTTTTTGAAAACAAATAAACAATCCTTTATAAAGACCACTCACACAAAGATTACGAAACAGCCAAAGCATTTTATGTCACAATAATTAGTATCTACTTATTAAAAAAAAACACCAATTACTTTTGTACATAATGGAATGTAAGGAGGCTACAATCACAAACAACGAGAATATAAGAAAATGCCGATTACATGGTTCAACACAAACAATTAACGTTTCCCGAATTATCGAATTTACCAAGCAATACATCGCAAATACTTTTTTATAAAATCTCATTATATTGCAACTTGCAACTTTATAAAACTCTTTTTGAGGGGAATTTTACTGACTCAGGAAACCAGAAAGCATTTTAAAACCTAAAGCATTTTAAAACCTCTTCACATTAATCACATACATCTAGGACATTTATGAAATAAATAAAAACAACAATATAAATATATATTAGACATCTTTTAAAAACTTATCGTAAAGTTACCTTAGTAAGTAGGTATCCTAATATAAAAATATCCATATTAATATATTAAAAAATACTTTTGAAACCTGCTCAACAATTGACAGCACACGTGACTACTTTAAGCTGCCAATACAGTAATAGATTTTCAACTTTATTACAAAACAATAAGGTTGAAAATATACTAAAGAAATTCGACAGATAAGGGTAGCTTGATGTGCGTCATTGGAGTTCCGATTGGTAGGTCCTTAGGTTTTATATGTCGCGGCAACTTGTGAGAGTGAATATGGTTGCCACGGCAATGTTATGTAGGATATTCGATATTTTTTTTAGCGATGATCACACCACTAGAAGTTAGTAATTTGGAATTATGATGGCTGCTGGCATGCTCTATCCAAGCCCAGTACTATAACGAACCTAAGTCAGTACATTTCACTCCTAAATGACAGTGTCTAATTTCAATTAATTTTTTTTTTCTAAAAATTCAGTTTCTTGAACTGTTACTTAAAAATTTTCTCTAATATTAATCTCACTTTTGAAATATTACATCTATTTTTTTACAATTCCGTATATTTTAGAGCACTGTATAGTTAAATACATGATGGAAATTACCATCAGACCTTTTATTCCCTGAAGGAGGGAGTAGAGGTGCCGATTTACACATATAACATCCACTTGTCAGCAGTTATGTCATGAGTGCCAAACATAGTTATGAGTAGGATGAAGGAGTAGATAATTTAATTTGCTAATAAGGTCGTTTACACAATATAACCAATCACGATTGAGTTGGTGTAGAAATTAACCAATCACAAGCTATTGGTTGGTTGCACAACTTGTCAAAAATTCTTACATTACAGTTTTATAAAAATAAAAGAGGTTTTATATCGTATCGTATATTGGGGTATCGGTTGCCAATAAAGAAAAAATAAAGTTTTATGGTTACTATAAAGTAGCCATGTATTGATTTTTTTTTTAATAGATGCTTTACTGAAATTATATATTTGATTATGTTGGTAAGCGATCTTAGAAGCAAGAAAATACACAGAGTAAAACTATAAGTTATATATTTAAAATATCTGTAAGTTATATATATATAACTATTATTATAGTAGATATTTGTAATTCGATAAAGTTATGACAAGATGTTCCAAAAATCAACAATATAATTTGTACAGGTGATAACCTGAGAGGCTCTTCTTATGACTGCGCTGTAAATACCTAGTAAAAAACAATACTTTTTCCTTCTTAGAGTAAGTTCTAAAGGAAATCTGATAACTCTCGAATTGGCACACACACACCGCCACCCTGAATTACATTTTGAAGTCCCATGACCACAATTTATCGTAAACCTTTTTTGTAATAATAATCTCACTAATGCCATCCACCTGAAAAACATATTTATATGTATTATTTCCAAAGCAGTCCTAGAGCCCCAAAGAAGGCCTATCCTATCCTACCTGGTCAAATTATACCGTTGAGTTTTAGGACATTGAGTATATTATAAGCTATGTAAGTATGTACTACATTAAAATGGCTATAAGCTTATGGATATACTAATTTCTATATAGTCCCTCATCTCTTAATTTTGTTCTAATCTCAAACAGTCTACGCCAAAATATCAACCCTCCCATATTTAAAAACTACAATAAATTGAATTGATATCATTCGATACTGATTATTTAGAAAATTGTTAATACATGAATACGATAAACACTTAGAAAATCTTCAAATCGGTATATAATTATATATTTATATAAAATGAGTAAATTGGATTATTTCCCTAAAATTGGTGATTAACATACGATGTGTTTATTATTTTAACAACTTAACTGTCCAAGGAGATACGACTCACGATGTACTTTTAGAATAAGTTTATGAGTCACATGTGACTATGTGACTCATTTTTCGTAAAATTTTGGGGTGTATTTTTGATATGAACGTGGCAACAAATTCTAATAAAAACTACGTCGACGTACAGCAAAAACCCTGACCTTTAAAAAAACAATGGACGTGGACAGTTAAATTGTTAAATTTATGTGAAAACTTCGATCTTTAACCGACTCGCTTCGCATTCATTTTCCTTTCATGCCAATATCTTTTTGTTAAAACGCATTATTTTCCAAGTAGTTTTTACTTACAGGCTTTAATTCTAGACATAGGGATAGTGCTGGATATGAATAAATGAAACAAAAATATAAATCCCATTGCGAATGGCGTGGCAAACGGGAGTCGCAACGAATCGGTTGGTATTAATATTACCTATACTTGTTACACATTCAATGTAATAGCTAAGGTTACGTATTGTTATAAAGACAAATAATATTATGACAAATAAGTAATGTGCTGATTTAAAAATGTGTATCACCACTCAACCTTCGTTATAATTTACGAACAAACATATAATCGAGAGATTAGATTCGTTTTTCGATACTTCACCTCGATACCACGTAATAAGTATATTTAATTTTAAATAGTTCTACAGTAAATTGTGCGTTACTTTTATTTCTAAAAGAACGTTTTAAGTTGGTGATGGTTTTAGTACATTCTAATATAAGAACTATCGATACTTTAAATTGCCGTGGTATTGTGATATTGTTATAATCATTTTGTGTGTTAAACAATAGTAAAGTAAACAATGTACTTATAAAATAAAATATTGTCCAGCCCGAACGGATAAATTATAATTAATCCAGGCACTTAGTATCCACAGTCTCAGGAGTAGCCTGCCCAGTTCTGGAAAATTCTGTCTACTCGTACGCGGATTTCAGTCGTTGGAAGTTTCCGTTCCTCCAACGACTGTAATATTTGGGCACTATAAATAAACCAAAAAGTATGTACATAAATATGGTGAGTTTATGAATTGATTACAACTTAGCACGGTGTTGTGTTGCTATGAAATGATGATTCAAACGTATTTGTATGTTTGTATTATACAGCGCGAGTCTTTATGAAGTGCACATATCAAAAAATAGAAAAAAAAAATTAAATTGAACTCGATCGCTTATGAAAAATGATAAAAATAATTGTAGAAAACTGTGATAAAAGAAAAAATTGAATAAAAATAATTATATAATTGAAGTTCGGTCGTACCTCAATTATCTTTTTAAAAGGATGTCTTATTATTTTTAATCATTATGGAATCGTTTCATATATTAATAATAAAATATTTTCTCATTTCGACATGTGCACTTTATAAAGACACACTGTATTCAAGAACATGTCTATCAAATGCAGAGAAGTGGTGGGCGAAACGAAACAGCTGGGCCAGTTAATCAAAAGCTCAGCGAAATCAATTTAGGTTGTAGTAATATACTATTGTAATTTATCACACGACCATTTCTGTCGAGGACTTCATTAAGTTTTCAGTAACCGTAAAAAACACCGTAAACCATATTCTCCTTTTTTAAATATTCCAATTTTACATTTCAATGTTTGGCCCACCACTGATTATTGTTACTACTGCATCTTATGAATAAAATTCAATTCGGGTCGTGCTTAGGCGCTAAATTCTATTGTAAACTTGTTGAAAGCGCATTGTGGAGAATGCTTCAGACGGGGATGCAACTGATGATACGACTTTATCTGTATATTCGCGATAGAATTACATAGTAGTAAAAAAAGTAAATTTTAGGGTACGTCTTTAACAAACCGGGGGTTACAAATAAACAGTAGATAATAATTATTTTTCAAAGCTTATAGGAGATACAAATGGTACAAATTTTTAATTTATATCATGATAACATTCTCCATACTCTTATAGAAAAAACAAGTGCATAGACTGATTAGTCAATGCACCCGTTGCATAGACAAAGATGCAGTAGTAAATTAATAATGTAAGGTTGTTAATTAGATTTAAATTTAATTGCTTACCCGGAACCGAAATGATGAATGTACCCCATGTCCCTGTTCTGAATAGAAATATTCGATGGAACCTAAGTGTCTAGATGAAAGAACTACTAATTGTATGTTAGTGGCGATGTCTCTTAATGGATAGTTTTTAAGTATTTTCTACTTAAGGCAAGTAACCTTAGATTGGGCAGCTTTTAATAAATCTTTCATCTAGACAATTAAGTCGGTGTAGCGTTTAGCAATGAAATATTAATGCAGTATAAATCGTGCTTCATACGTGTGTGGAACATACAGCGACGTCTCTATGAACTACTTTTCTCTAGTCGAGTACATGCATAATACCAGAATGTAGTTTAGACTAGCAATAATATGTAGGCACTAGCACATTAAGCTATCATTATCTATCAAATTACAAATATCTCCTGTGTGTCCTGTAAGTAATGGCATCCGGAGCCAAGACGTGGGCACTGCCAATACTGTCACCAATTCAAGGCCACATAGCGAACTTTGGAGTGGACATAACTCGGAGTTATCTGAAGGATCAAATACGAAACGAGGTGATCCGACAGAGCGTCAAAGTTGTACCCAAAGGATTATCAGGCTAAAATGGTAGTAGGCCGGTCACATTTGTCGAAAAACTGATGAATAAATGTTTACCCAAAAGTACGTGTTCTGGAGTGAACACTTCATACGAGCAAACGCAGGGAGTGTATAGGACGTCCTTCAGTAAGTGAAGTGAGGAGATTCGCAAATTGGCTGGTAGTGGTTGAATGCGAAGACCACAATATCGAACTCAGTGCAGTGCTATTGGAGGCAGGCTATCCAGTAGTGGGTCAGAAACGGACGACGATAAAAGGAATTTGATAGATCCAGCTAGCTTAATGTACCGTCTCCAGAACATTATATCTGTACCTAAACATAGTCACTAATGGCATTGAACAAAATATAGAAAAATTATACTTGTATAGTTCACAAGTTGAACGACTAAAGATTGGTAGTCTAAACCAAGCTTAAAATGACTAATGTATGAATGTGAAATGTTTGTAATATATCGTTTCGTGGTTATATTAATTACGTTAAATGGCTTACTCGTGTAGCTCAGGTAAGTCGACGAGTTTGCAAGCGTCGCGCAGCCACGACATACGCTGGGTCGCGCGTCTTTTGGCACGCATGCTGCTCATAACCATGACATGCATGATCGACCGGTCGAGTTCATCTCGTCGAATAGTCTCAGCAATAAACCAAATAACCTAATTAATTTCATTACTGTGATCTTTATGTTTTTATCTACGTGCATATGCTACCAACAGGCATTACAGTGCTCAAGAATGAACAAATATTGATATAAATACAACATACACATGTTGTACCCACATTTTATCTTTTAAACTATTTTACATATTATAAATTATTATAAATAGATTTGTTCGAAATGCTACATTTTATAGTACGGGCTGATATCTGTCTTTTTATGGAATAGAGCATTTAGTGTTTGGATACAATCTAGAAAAGAGGTACTAAACTAGATTTACTTTAGGAGTAAGGGTATAGGTCAAATCTGTGTCACGATTTGAAGACAAACTAGACCCCATGACCGTATATAATCAGCATACCGACCAACCGACTTCCGAAAATGAGGTTCATTACGCCGGCGTATGTGGACGATTTTGGTGACTTTTTTTTCTTACATTGGCATTGTTGGCATTCAGAACAACGTGCTCGTGCCGGTTTGGATGTAGTTTTAAAAAGTTATGTAAGAGCAATATTCTTTTTTTTAAAATGACCAACTTCTCAAACATTTTCTAACATTGATATTCACTTTTTTATATAATTCGTGACCCCGTGTCGCTAAGTCGAAAATGTTCTAACATGGATATTCACTTCTTTATATTGTTGTTCGCACCATATCGCTAAGTCGAAAATTTTCAATCATGGATATTCACTTCTTTATGTTATTGTCCACACCGTGTCGCTAAGTCGAAAATGTTCTAACATGGATATTCACTTCTTTATATTGTTGACCCCGTGTCGCTAAGTCAAAAATTTGTTTAGTCAATTATCAATCCTATAGTTTTGTAATAAAGATTACTTCTGACTTAACCAATTTCTGTCCTTAAAACCGCATACATATTTGTTGAAACTTTCAGCCTAGTACAAGCCAATTGGCATCTAAGTGACAGTCGTTCGCGCGATTAAGAACTCAATGCTTGACTTGCTTCCGATTCTACCGGTAGATAGTTGCTTTTAAGTGCTAAATTGGCTCATGGCACTGATCGACAGTCGTGACTAAGAAGTTCAGCAGTGCTAGCCAAATGCCACCCGCTCCGTGTCTACTCTCTTTCTACAAACGCAAGCGCCTTAGCGACATCGCTAACAATTTGGTAGCCAAATGCACAAGCGCTGACGGGTCGCTAACTCTATTCGCTTCGCGTTAAAAATCAAGTTTTTACTCTATGGTTGCGATTTTCGTCGCGTCATTTTGACATACCATTTGTGATTCGCGGTAAATTTAAGAAACATTGGTAAGTATTTACCTACATATTATTTTCATAAAATTTTATAAATATAATGATTGATTGCCTTTATTCTCGGGACCACGGGATGCTGGGCCTTTGGAAGGCGTTCGAGGCTGAAGCCAATAGTTATATTACAAATATTTACGATTGAATTATCCATAGAATTCAGAGCTCGAACGAGTGAATTCTTAATTAATTTATGGAGATGAGTTCATAACATTCTTTCAATTTCTATTTTAGTAATGCAAGCAAGGCAGAGGTCAAGCTTTGAACAGCTTTCTGTGCTGATTCAGTTTATGGAAAGGTAATATTACTTGTATAATTGGTATTACAGTGACTTAAATCCACTCATGTTGTCACAAACAATGACTGGGTACATGCAAATATTATAGTAATAATAATAAAGGTTTATAATTTAGCCATGGGGACCTGTCAAAGCCGCGTCCAGGGCCTCAAGGCCGAATAAATAGTGAGCAACTCTGGCTGGAGCTTACCAATATTTTAAATTCCATGGGTGGTGGTGTCCAGAAAACAGCAGATAAATGGAAGAAAGTAATTCACCTATTTACATATGTTTTACATTAGTTATCACTAGGTATTTGTATCATTATATTATTTATTTGAATACACCGTCACAACGGTTAGAAACTAATTACAGTTACTGAAAACACAAAATAATAACCTATAAAATATTAAACTAAAATAAAACATATTATATACATTACACACAAAGGAAAAGAAAAGTACAAACTTAGTTAAAACTGGTTTAGGTAATTCATAAGTTCCTCTCGCTGTATTTCAGGCATTCCGATATTATAATAAACAAACAAGTAATTATGTAGGTATAACAATTAATGAGTAATTATTGCTAATTAATAAGTAATATATTAGTATGTAATACATCTAAATGTTTGCTTTTATTTAGGTCTGGACAGACTGGAAAACAAAAACAAAAAAGAAATATTTGCATATAAGGCAGCAAAGCAGTGGCACAGGTGGTGGTCCAAACACACACATTCAATTAACTGCCATAGAAGAAAGGGTGATGGCAGTTATTGGAGTGTCTGCTGTAGTTGGTTTGGCTGGCATCCAGGAGCAAGGATTTAATGTTAGTTTAAATTTTTTGTAAATATTTATTACTTGTTATATCTAGTCACTAATTTCTACTAATAGAGATATATAAGTAAATCTATCTATTAAACTTAAAAAAGCTCTCTTATGCAGAGAAGGCTAATATTATAGCCACGGCCTGTCACAGGTTGATGGTGATGATGATAATGATATCATTATAAAGTATCTATAGGTATAGATGCTTTCAGAAAGAAACACCTATGAAATTAGGTTAGATGTAGTTGTATGATAGTAAGAAATCCTTCTTTCCTGTGAGCAAAGAATACATCAAGTGAAATAACTTGAATTATTTAAACCATTTCTTGTTTTTAAGGTTCCAAATTTTAATGAACAGCCACCGGAACCGATGCATTTTGCTGAAATGTTGGAGAACCAAAGCAGCCAGAATAGTTAGTACCTACCATTAATAGTTCTCTAGAAACATACCTATTTATTTTTATATTGAGAATTTTATTTTACATACCTAACTATAGTTACTACTTTTATTTGTCTAAGAGGTTAGCACAGAAATCATAAAATGTTCAATTTAGAATAAGATTTCTAGCCAATAGTAAAAAACCTGGCTATAGGAAATTGTTTAAGTTTGACATTATTTGCTTAGGCATTGTCTAACAGCAGACCTTTAGAGAATAAATGTCATAAAAGCCTTAAACGTCTCTATTTACAGCAGATCCAATATTCGATGGACGTACGTCACCACTGCCACTGCCGTCGCTGTTATCACCCCAGCGACCGCCAGAACCGCTGCAACCACCACTACCACAGCAACCCCCGCAACAACGACTGTCGCAACCCCCTACTCCGCCAGCGCGTAACGGCAGACGGCAACCGTCGACCTCTCCACGCTCTACAATGAGCGCTAATAGGTTTGCTCGCCGAACTAAGAGGAGAATGACTCCCTTTGAACGGGCGGCAGAGCAGTTTAGTGCTGTAGAGCGTAGGCGTCTTACTTTTGAAGAAGAGCGAGACAGGCGCCTACACGAAAGAGAGATGGAGAGGCTGCGACTAGAAGCCGAAAAAATAAAAATTGCTGAACGGCAAACGGCGATACTGGAAGGCTTGAGAGTTCTTGGAGAACGGCTCATTGGCGTACTGTCTGAGCAGCGGCCGGCCAACTTATAATTTTTATTATGCAATTATATACGTATACAAAAGGTGTAGATTTAAAACCATGCCACTACTCGAAAGCATGTCACAGAAGTCATAAATGTTCAATTTAAGAAACGGTTTCTGGGCAATAGTTAAAAATACTGCTATAATAAATCGTATTATTCAGAATAAGCGACGAATCACCCGACATGTCAATGTATCAGCTGATTCATAATTCGTAATACCTACTAAATGCGTACGTATCTTGCTGAATAGGTACAAATAATTTAAAACTTAGTAATGGGTCTGTAGGTATCCTTAGAGACGGAATGTAAACTATGTGAAGTAAATAACTTACATATCTACCTGTGTCACTCGGAGATTTCGTTCGAAATTTTCATCTTCGCAATCTACCTATGCACAGTAACAGTTATGCAACACGTCATTAATTATACTAGTCAACACTGTGACACTTGTTTTAATGTGTTTTAAGCACTGATCACTTGCAGTCTCTGGGTAACAGTCAAACGCATGACTTTCATGTCATGTCTGTGTTGGGAGTTTAGGTACGATGCGAATACCTCGATAGTTTGTTTTCATTGCAACTGATGGCATAAATGTTATCATTATTACATAAACACTGAACTTAGAACTTTGATAATAATAAATTAGTGACGTTATTGTAAGTTTAAGGTCATGCGAAATAATTTCGCAATCGACTACCCCCGGCAGCGCCAAAGCACAAACTGAATGCGTGTTTGCGTGTGCGCCGTAGGGCCCGTAGGGGTGAGAGTGCTAGGGGGTGGAGCGTTCGCGTTTCTTATTGGAATTTTTGGGAATTAGTAATAATATCTTAATATCAATTACGTGTTTGAGTGTGTGTGTGTTGAACCGCGTTATTAAGCTAGTTACATGACGGTCACGTGAAATCCGGCGTAGTTAGCACTTACGGATATCCGTAATTTACAATAAAAATAATTACCTACAACTTTTTTATTCCTTCAGACTTAGAATCGATAGCCGAAGTTACCTTCTAGAAAAGGTTTTTTCCCGAACAACCCTTGTATACACGTTTCCCCGTTGTACCTTGCGTGCTTTTGCCATTTTTTTACTAACTTTATCTATACCTACATATTATTAAATTATTTTGAAATAAAACTGCTTTTTCTTTCTTTCTCTAGTTTGTATTCTCTTAATAAATTATATAATAAAAGCGTAAAAAATTAAAACTAAACAAAACCAATAGGCGTAAAATAAGGAATATAGGCATACAGAAAACATAAAATTGAAGAAATTCCGGACAATAATTTTATAGATACATTTCGTTTAGATAAACAGACTTTTAGTCTGCTTTGTGAGGTGCCCATACCTCAAGCAAATTGTTCTTTACACTTATTGATTCACCATGGTGTCAATGTTTTGACCGAGGGAAGTGGAAACTATAGTTTTTTTTCTCCTCTATTAATATCTTCTTTACGTAGTGGGATCAACTTTTCATGTTGTATCTACTGTAGATCTTGGCTTATAGGTGTAGTAGTCCATCGGTTTTGGGAGGTAAAACAAAAAAGCTAAATTTATACATATTAAAGCCTGCTTATTAATGCATTGAGCGTTGCTCGGCCATGTATAATGTCCGTTTGCGAATTATGGGCAATCTGAACGTCCACCGACACTCCATCATCATCACCATGATGCTCAGTTACGTCAGCAGGTGGTGGAAGACGAGCGTGTACCGTGAGATTGTGTAATACACAACACGCAGTAACAATTTTACTGGCAACATGTGGATCATAATGGAGTGTGCGGTGGTTCAGCAAACATCGCCAACGTCCTTTTAACACACCAAAACAACGCTCAATGCAGTTTCTGGCTTGTATGTGTCGCGTGGTATAAATATCTTCTTGTGATCCAGCAGCGGCATTCAAAACGGGCGTCATTAGCCACGCTCTTTGCGGGTATCCTGAATCACCTACAATTTTAAGGATATTTTATTAGTTTCTCAACTTTGCAACCATGTAGAAGTAATACGCTTTACATAATTTATAATGACACTGTGTGTGCTGTGAAAAGGCTAAGGTTGCCACTTGTATATTGCTACTCACCTAAAAGCCACGTTTGCTCCCCACGTCGGTGAAGCTCACGCATGAAAGGCTCCACTTGGCTGGAAGCCCATATAAATGAGTCATGCGTGGCTCCACCATACTTGGCATTCACATTTAGTATTTTAAGATTGTGATCACAAATCTGCAAATCAAATTATTTTAATTACACGCATGCTTAAATAGGCGAAAGAGGGGTATATCGACCTTATAAGTACCTAATTTGTTTGAGTGCAACCAGGAATTACTTTGTTTAGAATAAGCAACTGAATCCATCTCAATGATTTTATACCATGTTGTATTTTGACCAAAAAAACTTCAAAACTGCGCGCTGCCTATTCGCAATCATATGACTGCAGGTCATGCGCGGGCACGGCACGCGGCACTGTAGGTATCGAACGCGGCACGGAGCGACAGCGACGCACCCGCGCAACCCCCTTTCGTTTTCGTTCAGTTACGCTCAGGCTCACGCCGCGGCTACTGTCGTTGTATGCGCATGCACCTCGTCGACAATTTCGTGATCGCAAGTTTTATCTTTCTTCAATTAGATTTTTAACTTTAAACACTTCGTTTATCAAGAAGAGTTACAAAATGAATTTGATTTAGGAGACAAAATCCATAAAAGTGAATTTTCAAGTGTTAAAAACAATCGATTTGTTTTAAGCAAATTACACAAAATTATAGCTCTTGAAATTCTTTGTATGATGCAAAGAGGCGAATGCTTCGAGCTACTTTTAAAGTATGTGTGAGCAGTGAAGTGAGTACCTATCTACCTAATCAGTGACATCGTGATTCTCAAATATTCAATCATAGATAGTAGGTAAACAGTGAATTAGTAACTAAATAGTGAATTAACGTTTAAATAATGTTAATTAACATGTTTAAACACCAAGATGGATTAGTAATTGCGTTATCAATGAAGACAGTGCGAAGCGAATGAAGGTTTGTAGCTGCACATAGTTGAGTTAATAACTACCTATACATGTAGTTATCGCCGCGGCCGCGCGCCGGTACATGGTGAGTAGGTGTATTTTTACAGACAGAGAGCTATTATATTAAGCAAAACTCGGTGAATCTTTATCGTAGTTTTGAAATTTTGCTTATCGATTATATTTATACAAAAATACTAGACCCGTGTTTCGTAATGCACTCAAACAAATTATGGTTGTTGACGCAGACAGTCCTTCATCTGTGCAGTATTCAATGAACAGATTCTATAATAATTATGTATAAAACGTTAGCTTACCATTTGCACATTAAGGGAATGATATCCTTTCCTATTAAAAAATAAGTGCTCGTCCCTGGCTGGCTTTACAATGGCCACGTGCGTACAATCTATGCAGCCTACAACACCCGGCAAATTAAATCTTCTTTGGAACCTAGAAGTGATTCATGTTTAGTATAGGTACATATAATAAAAATAAACTAAACAAATAACGGTAATAGATACTGTCTTATAGTACCTTCTGTTAGATATATGGTAGGTATTGTTTAAAAAAAACATAATCCCAGTATTATTTTCTTTTTAGTCGTGGTCGAGAGACGAGACATTTACTATTCCTCCGGCTATATTAATTTATAAGAACCGTCGCAATATTTTGAATATTACTTACTCTTGTCTCAGGGCCTGCCGTTCTTGTTGCGTTTGAGGAAATCGTATGCCATTTAACATGTAGTCGCTGTTGAGCGCTTCTACGACTTCCCTTATACAGCGACTTGCAGTTCGTTGGGGTAGAAATTGTGTTACCCCAACGATTCGCTGGTAAGATCCTGTTGCCAAAAAGCTCAATGTGCAAAGAACCTACAAAGGAACAAACAAAGACCATTTTAACTTTACTTCTAAAGACTTAAGCAGGTAACTGATGTATCCTAATGTTCATCATTATCAAACCGTTTTCGCCAATAACTCGCCGTAGAGCTCGAACTGAATGAAAGCTCTTCTCATGCGTACTTAGTTTGGTGGATTTAGTTTATTAGTAGTAGGCAATGATTTATTTACTAACCTTAGTCTCGAGCGAAATATGTTTAGTTCCCCGCAATGAGGTATGGGCACGTAAGTCATTACAAAGCAGACTAAAAGTTTCTTTATCCAAACGAAATGCATCTATAAAATTATTGTCCGGAATTTCTTCATATTGATTTTTTCTGCATAATTTTCTTTTATTACGCCTATTCCACTCTTCTTCAGTCTTAGCTGCCCATAATAGGCGTAATGTATGCATTTTATTAAAATAAAATAATTTGGTGTCCACACAACACAACACATGAACACAAATTTAAATGAGCGCGGCTTTGCGCGGCTTACTTCGGATGTTTGCGCGGCAAACAGCTGATCGAAGGTCGGCCATTTTGCAGCGCTATCTACAAGGTCCTAGCGACCGCTCCGTGTCGAGCGCTAAGAAACGCTTTCTACAGTCAAAAGTGGTATTTGGCTAGCCTTTCTAAGGAAAATAATCGACTTGCTTAGCGACCCGTTTTGTAGAATAGACTAAAGATGCATTTGGCTACCAATCTCAGAGTGTTAAACTCTGTCTATTTTGCTTATGTCATCCCCATACATTGAGTTATCTACTCTACAAGTAGACACGCTTATAAAAGGCATTTGGCTAGCACTGCAGTATCGACTATAGAAAAAGTCGCTGTTTAAAGTTACACCGAATGAGTTTGGATACTTATGTAATAGTCTATGAGAGCGTTTCTACATAATTTCCAATTATCAGACATCGGTAAAACTTTTAGTTCTTTTGTAACGGACATAGATAAGAAATAGCTGCCTCTGTACCTACAAACGGCACAATATTTTTAAATAACTTCCCAATTCATCTTCAAATCGTAACACAGAAGTGAGTTTTACAAAGAATTTGAAACATCAAGAGGAAACATCTACTAAGTGCACCATGGCTAAGACAATATAAATTATCAAGTACAAGTACCTACTAGTACCATGTACCTAAGTGCAAACATTATTGTGGAGGTAGTTTCTAAGGAAATACAAAACTGTGGTTTTATAATTAGCTAATACTTTGGTATTATCTATACCGACATACTAATGTATGACACAATGGTATAACGAGGGAGAGGGAATTTGTTTCCTTCCAAAGAACCAACCAATGTTTTCACTAAGTAGGTACTAGTACAACACTCAGATAGTAATTAATTCATGGACAACGAGTATATCAGAACTATCATATTAGAGAAAAATACTTTAAACTCCCTTTGACCAATTCATCAGATGGCTGCGTCACTGTTCAAATTGTGATCTCTGCACGATGCTGTCCGATGGAGGAAACCCTTACGTAGATTTCAAGTTACAAATAAGATACATAATATTTATGTATTAATGTACACAATGACATGCAACATGCGCATGTTCATTCCATCAGAAACAAAAAGAAGCGTTTGCGTTAGGAATAAATGAAAACTGGACAAATTCCCCTCCCGCGTCGTCATGATGTGACCAATCGGAACTCCTGGGACCTGTTTACCTACCGTCGCGGCGCTGTAGTACTTCGAAAAGTACTACGTTGCTGTCGAAATCGCTCTCCTCGCTCGCGGGCCAAGTCTGATCTTCTAGAAGAGGTTTATCATGCTCGCCTGATATCTTCAGTGGCCTCCGGATGGTATTAAAGTCCGCGTCGAGGGCTGGGATGGTGCCAGTCACGGACTTTATGAAGATAACTTTGTGCACAATGTGGCCGCAGATGCCCAGCAGACAGACCGCCAACCCCACCACGTTGATCGGAGACAGCACGTCCCCGCTTACCTCCACCGCGAGCACGAGGATGCACATTTCCTGAAATGGTTTAATTCATAGCTGAATTTATATGATCTCGCCTCGTCGCTCAAGTGGACCCAATTAGGTAAATCTGCCGAGTAAGAGGATCTCGAGTGAGGCGTGAGGTTCCTGGGTAAAATATTAAAATATACAGGTGCGTAACGTTATGTTATGCAAAACATATCTTTTAACGTCCTTCGTCAATCGTTACATCTAAATTGTGTGAAGGTCGTTTGAGGTCTCCCACTATGTACCGATATTTGTGTTTTTAAATGCATAGCTATGAACACATGAGTAAACACCACAGGAATATTTCTATGTATGTTATAACAATTATTGTACTTTAGGTATTTTTGAGGCGGCTAATCAGTTTATAATGGTTTTGTGAGAAATTTGTATGTAAAAAATTATTCTTTAAAACAAAAGATATACCTAATTTACAACTTGTGGCCATTAAATTATATCATTATGATATGAGCTTATGGCACCGACTTCTAACTTATCAGTGGGTGGGTAACCTATCGGTATTAACGATAGTTCCTGTTTTCTTTTCAGTTTTGACTTTTAGTTTTTGGTTTTTTGAAGTCGGTTTTTTAAACGAAGTTTTTATTTTATTGTTATATCATTTTCAGTGTAAAGCTACATAGATCCGTTTTGTCACTTATAATCTGCATAGGTGCAAAGTTCTAATCAATACAAAATATACAAGCCCAAACACAATGTAGTTACTGTATACCGTTGACGAGTTCCCTTAACAATTACACTTCTTCATCATCAGACCCTTAATGACAGCCCCACTCTATCTAGGTGTAAAGTCCTTATCAATACAAATTAATCAAGCCCAACCACAAGGTAGTTAATATATACCGCTAAGGAGTTCTCTCGACTGTCTGTCGGCTCCATCATCAGTTCGACTTCAGACCCTTATCAAATTGTAGTGTTTAAAAATCTTGTTTTAAAAAAAAAATTAAAAACAATAGATGCATTACTAGCAATTACAGAAAGTTCCCCTCGGTTTCCCTAAGACATCATCATCAGTTCCTGACCTCATGGAAATGGGACCACCTCGGGAGTATACCCTTTCAAACAAAATATGAATTTCGGAAATCGGTTCACAAACGGCGGAGTAATGCGCGAAGAAACAAAAACAACGATTGAAGTCGGTAAAAATCACGTGGTCATATCAACTCATTATCATCAACCAGTGTCATTTACGGCCGTTCCCAATATTCTATCTATCCCTTGTTTTGCCCTACTGGAGATAGAAAAATCTATCTATCTTTAAATTTGCCGTCTCAATAAACTTACTGGCGATAGGCAAACTAATCTATGGTTGTCATTACCTGTGGGAGGACGGATAGGTTATCTACAGATTGCTTTTACTATGAAATTGACAGTTCATACGTCCCAATAATAACAAAGGTGCTATCTGTCAGTGACTTTGGTTATCCCTAGTAGGCTTTAGCTCTATCGTAGAATTTTGAGGGATAGGAGTATAGTTATCAGTGGAGATCAGTATATATATCTTTTCTATTTCTTAAAAATACATCAGATTTAAACAAAAAATCATTTCGGACTCCAGTTCAAGTAGTAGTTCAAGTGCTATTGATATTTTGAAACAAATAAGGAACTGGGAATCTCACGAGGACGATGTGGTTACCACAACACGACCATATCAAGGGCGTGTTAATTACATGTACAGATATGACGATTACGAGTTTGTGTATAGATTTAGGCTAAGAAGACTAAATTAGAGAATTTTATACTTGTCCGTTATTCATACCTACATCTTTATTTTAATTAAGTGTTCCAGTGGATGAGAAATGAGATATTCATTGAATGTGCAAAATGCAGTGTAATAAAAAGATGGTTTAGAATAAACTGTTTTATTTTATTTAATTATATGAATTATTATTGGGTTGTTTCTCCTTCTCCAGTATATCTAGCTAGAGTTTCCGTTTCTTTAATGCATGTATTTCTTTTCGATCTGTTATTGACTCATATCATCTGCATCAGCTCGTCTTTTCTGTTTTCCTAGAAAAATATTATTTATAATTATAATATTATTTATAGTGTATTATTCCATTTTGCTCCTCACCATATAAAAGTTTTATAACTAAACAGTATTGAAAAGTAAATAGTCATAACCAATACCAAACCCCAAAAATGAAATATACAAGAAACTATCTGTGATACCTAATCCTCCAAGTCGCATCCTTGAGCTGGTTATTGCTGGCATTTGTGACTTTGCTGAACATCAATGGATTTGCCTCCACCAATTGTACCAGCTGCATTACTTCTTCTTTCGTCAATAGCATATTCTTTTGCTACAATGAGTGCACCAAACACGAGTTATTAGTCACATGTATGTTCATGCAAACAACAAAAAATATTCAACAATCCAAGTATAAAAGTTCAGTGAAAGCCATAGAACTTTAAAACTTCAATAGCTTCAATCTAAAGCTAGAAAAGCACAAACTGTAATACTTACTGAGCTCATTTATTATAACAAACAATTCTTTGTTATATTATCATAATTTATTGTAAACAAAATCAACAAACAACAATGTCAAATGTCAATGTTTTAACAAACACGTTCCGTTACAAGTCGCGCACTCATCCAGTCGCAAACATGAAGTTTTCGTTATATTTAACTTAAAAAAATATTGTTTACTATAAAATTTGTGCAAAATATAAGGTTTCGTTAATTAATTCAAAATGTTTGTGATATAAACATGACAAGATGCTTTGAAAACATTATTGTAACTTAGTGGCACTCTGTGGGGCTCTGCATACAATGAAACACATGGGAGGGCTCAGATAGGCACCCTATCTACTGATATCTAGAGATAGCAAAGACACATTTTAGTTATTGGGACGACATCGAAAGATAGATAGCTTTTAACTGACTATCGAGGATAGCTATCTATCTTTACCTATGGATTGAATATTGGGAACGGCCGTTAGGGAGTCATACCCGCGACTTATTTTATTCGACAGTCACGCTTGCGACCACTCGACCAACGAGACAGACAAAATGTTATGTAAGGTTTAAATCTGTAAATTAAGTTAGTTCGCCGTGTAAATGAGGCTACCGGACCCACAATCCTCCCCACTTATGTCCGGTCCCTAAAATCTCAAATATCTAGCCCCCAACACTTGTAATTTCAACTACTCATCTGACGTTGTAGGTGTCCATGATCAGTGTTAAAGAAAAACCCATCAATATTTACCTTGAATATTCCAGAGATAGACAATGTGAGACTAGACGTGTAGGTGACGACTAAAAATTCGCTGATCTCCATAGCAAACGCGATCGTGGCTCCGACTGATACCTTCAGAATCGTTGGCAGAAGCTTCTCCGACGACAGCTTCTGAAGGTAGTCGTAGCAGGCATATCCTGGAATTTTACAAGAGATTTTTATACCCATAGTATATGCTTATGCAAATCTACACGGCCCTCATTAAACTTCAATTCATATGTTGACGAATTAACACGTTCGCGGACGCGCCGGTTATGACAGTCATTAGGAACTTGCGCAGAATGACGCGCCGGCTATACCCTTCGATATTTTTTTGTGCTCTAGAAGCACAACTGCTTTAGCAGACGAATTTCCATACTGCTACCATATAGTTCATCATCTAGTGCCCCCAAATTAAATTATTCGAATTGCTAGGTGTCACGTAACATGTCTTTTTACCGCTTCCAACGTACTACTACTTGGAACATTTGTGTGCGCACTCCCACTGACGCAGCGGTCATAGCAGCGGCCATTGTATGAGAATTTGTTCCGTTGGCTGCGGAGTGCACCGCGGACTGCACACGTCAGGAACGTGATTTACGCGCGGTTTTTGACCAACATTTTTGGTAAGTAGAATTGATTTTTATGATTAAATAATTAGATTACCTACATTAGTAATATTTAAATGAAACGTAGGTACTTTAGAACATAGTAATGTATATAAATACAAATGCTACTAATATTATAAATGCGAAAGTTTGTGAGGCTGTATGTAGGTATGTTAGTTACTCTTTCACGCAAAAACCACAGAAAGGATTTGGCTAAAATTTGGTACAGAGATAGTTTATAACCTGGATTAACACATCGGATAGGTTTTTATCCCGAATTCATGTTCCCGTGGGATAATTTTCGAGTTGTAGTGGATGAAGCCGCTGCGCTGGCAACAGCTAGTATTGATAAATCATTGTTAATATAAAGTTTCAACAAATAATTTATCCTAAAATATTGATGTAAACAACTTCTACTTATAAATTCTACTTTTCAGATGTCTCGACAACGACTGAGTGGAGGTAAACCAAAAAATAACGATCCATACGAACGAGAAAATGAACGCATTATGAAATTGTTCAATGATACCTCATCAGATGAGTTATCTTAATCTTCTTAAGATTAAAATTATATTAAAGATTTTAATTGCAATGTCGTTTAGAATGATTAAAATTAAGGAAAGTTTATGTTGTGATTAAAAAGGTAATTTTTATATTGAAATAACTATTGTAATGTCGATGTAATTTTTCCTACATTAAAATAAATAAAACCTTGTGTTTTTATTATCTACTGGTGTTCTTTTTATCATAATTATTTTGAAACTTTGTAGAAGGGGTTAATAATATTGATGGCTATAGTCGCAGTATGCTGTATTTGAGTAAAATAACCGTTTACTACTGACGTAACGACTGATGCCTTTGAAGGCTATAGCCGGTGCGTCCTATTTGTATAGTCAAAGACTACATACCTGTGACGTAACGTTTGGAGCAGGCGAAGGCTATGGCCGGTGCTGTCTTATTTAAATACGTTGTCTTTTTTACCGACGACAGTACGGCTATAGCCTTTCATACAAAAATCTGGTGTCAAGATAGGGTTACAAAATCAAGCAAAGTGTCCGCGAACGTGTTAAAAAACACTCGAAATAAAAATATAGGAAGTCTGGAGTAAAAACGGACTTATTCATCATTATATTTTGACAAATTATTTTTTTTTTTTATGTGATGAGGTTATTTTCTTTCTTGATCACTTTGATTGGATTTTGGTGTTACATTGTTCTCGCACAATCCGAACAGCAAAACTATGTAACTAGTAAATTGTATTGTGAACCTGATTGAAAAAGAGTAACCTATGGAGTTTCTTGCTCGTTCTTCTCCATAGGAATCTACACCTTGGAATGAGCAAATAGCTTCACTTTTAATATTATTTTTATTTTGACGTTCAAAAGTGCCATTCTGGCCTAATTGAAATAAATGACTTTGACTTTGACTTTGATTCCGACGTCACCCTGCAAAACATTAGTTGTTTTAACTAGTCAAGTACCGTCATTATAGACACAGTTATAGAACAATAGGTTGCGGTCACCGGTGACCGCTTGGTGTTTGACAGTTTAATTATGAAATTGCGATCGATTCAAATACAACACTTCGGTCTTTGAAACTTGTGAGTATGTATGTTGCAATATGAATTTCTATATTTGATAGTCATTAAAATATACAACGATGGCATAAGATTCATCTACAAACTTCGTGCCGTGTTGGTATTCGTACCTTGCTGACTGCTGCAGTTAGCAGCGCAATAGGGTAGATGACATTTTTTTTTTAAAACATTAGGCACGTATTTTCTTACAGAAAATAATAATTTCGAAGATATCGATTTGAAATATCGCAGGACGACTTTTGAGTACGATTTATACTAAAAAAATGACGTAGCTACCTCCCATTCCTAAACTTTGATTCGTTTTATCTTAGTATTGTTTTCTTATACGAGAAAATAAAAACGGAATAATTAGATTTTTAATTTTCATACCCTGTCATTATCCCTATTATAATATTGTTTGTATCATCGCCGCAGCTAGGCAATGCTAATTGATAATCTGAAGTTGGGAAAGTAGGCTATTTGTTATCTACCAACAATTTAAGCGAAGTCACAGGCGCTAGTTAGTATTATAAAGACAGTTTGTAAACTATAAAAAACGAAGTTTATAGTCAAGTGATACACGTGGCATTACGTAGGTGACATTGTGAGGTAAAAATAAATGGTCGAACATAAATAAAATGCCGGAGACAAAAGAAAAGATTATGTATATATATAGGTAACATATGGCAATGTTATTTTTATTTTTAACGTTGCCACCTACATAATAATTTGTAAATTGCACATGTGAGATATTCTATGCATAGGTAAGGTATAGGTAAGAGCTCAACCATACGGACAGGCATGACAGACCCTCAGTTACATTATTGTTATTCATAAGTTTTGAAGTTAGTCTAGAGCCAAGTGCAGTCCGTGTCTCAAATCGCACCTTGAGAAATCTCGACCTGTATTCTACAGAAATTGCAATCAAGGCATGTTTGCAAGGAGCTAAGTCGACGGCACCATATTACACGGTAACTACGTTTTCAGCCTACCTTTTACCCACATGTAGTTTAGAAAGAAATAGAGGTATAAACCAAGTAGTTACTATTCTTTTAACACGATTTTCAAAATCTTCACGTACCTAGGTCAGCACATAGCCATTAACATTACTGTGTAACTAGAAGAAGTTCTACAACGTCAAGTTTCTACTGAAATGGTTCTTTGTAGAATTTTAATAAATTACACAGTATATTGATTAAACACAACACAATAAATATGTACATACATTTAAACTACCGAGAATTTATCATCATAGTGTCGATATCGAGCTATACATTGCAAAACACTGACGAAAGTTTTAATTTCGCGAACTACCCTGTAGCTTAACGAGAAAACGTGGTTGAAGACCACGTTTTAGTTTTAGTACACGTAAGCAACAAAATTAACGATTGACAAATCAAATACCTACTAACGAAATCTATCCATATCCATCAATGTCATAAAATCAGTATTCCAATATTGAATAAAAAAACCTACTTATTATATGTTTATTGGCATACATACCTTGACTGATTTTGGATGCTGACGGGGTCGCAACGAATACTTTAAAAACATAAATATCATATTATACTAAATACTACTTATTATACTTTACTGCGTGCCGGACGATTATTAAATGCCTCGACAGAATATTCGCACTCTTTTTATATTCTACGAGGTGTAAGTGTAACACTTGACATGAGGGTGTTGTATAATTTACAAACACCCCACTTTGATTACATGTACTAATTAAAATCTCATTGCAATACAACCTTGACATTTGAAATAACTATGTTTTAAAATAAGGCTCTTGGTGTTAGTGGGTGCCTATATAAAAATGTGAATATACATTTTTTTTTTAAGGGGGGAAAATCATCGAAAGACTGCTCCCGCCTGGGTGAGGCGGGAGGGAGTGTCAGACTCTTACTGACTAAAAACCACCCCGTTCCTTCTCCTGCACGTCGAGCCGGAGCCCCGGTTACCCGTTAGGTTCTCCGCGACTCCGAATCGGCATCGGCCGTATTGGGCCCCATCTGTGGTGGTCTGATGGCTCTTTGAGGCGCGCGCGGAACGCGACGCGCCGTACGCTCGGGTGTGAATATACAATTAGACTTTCATGTGTGTATCATTGATAGTTTGCGCTCGGCGATGATGAATAAGTCATTTAGTCAGGACATGTTATTTTGTAAATATAGATATCAGAGATCCCTACTAACCACTACCTCAGACTACGTAAGTATCTATTACTTGGGATTAACCAAATTATACGTACTTAGCGATAATTGGGAGTTGAGAGCATTGTACTCGGAAGGCTAAACAGGTAAATATCGGAAACTGGAAAACATAAACACGGTGATCGCCAAATGTTAAACATTCCCACTTTTAATGAAGGATGAAGTTGTATTTAGACCATATTTTGTAAGCTTGCAGGCAAACAAGTAAAAATGAGCGTATTTTATTTCAAATATAAGTCCTGTCAACATGAACTGTCACCCGAATATGTAAATACTAAATACATTTCCTCTTATCCTTTGACAAAATCCAATATGAGTATTGAGTTCGTTTGAGCGCACCTAAGGTACATCTACCGATAGTATGTCCCCACTGGTCTATCTGATAGCAGAAGGATTTACGTACTATCTGTCGCAATGTTAGTCCTACAATACAACTGAGTTTTATTCCTAGTATGATGCTATTCCTAGCGTGGTATAATAACTACTTTAAAATACCAAATTTTTTATAAAAAAATAACTCAAATTCGAGAGTTTCTCGCAGCATTGAGGTGACTATTACACGGCGCCCGGCGGTGTCACTGCCAGACGTTTTGCTTTTTCGATGTCAGGTACAAACTGTCAGACGACATTGAGTACCTACGACTTCGATCAACAATCTACGATTCCTATACTTTACCATTGATTTCTCCATATTTAGTCACCCCATTTATGATGTATGATGTCAATAGTTTTTTCAGTATCCTTCAATCAAATCTATCGGCACCTTCTAGGTCAATGGTTCCCGGTATCCCGGTGGCGCTTTAATATTTTTTTCTTTTCCTATCACACGTCATCTAATCAAAAACCCTACTTACTCTCAATGTATAGAATAGACATAATTTAAATACTGCTGCTAGAACGCCTACTTTATGTGCGCAAACAACACGCGTCACCACGCAAACTATTGAAAGGCTGCGGTGTATAAATTACATGGATTATGCAAATTGCTGTAGTCCACCATGTGTGTTCTGAATGGTTCGACATGGGTAACGAAGTAAACTCTTGTCAGACGTCATTGGATATAAATATACATAAACAACCACCACGTGTTTGTTTCTTATAATAATTTGAGGAGCTCATAATTGTATTGTCACCAGTCCGGTGACCCTTACAGGTGTTGACGGCGGTCACCGGGCTTGTTTTCGTGAGGTGAAAATCCCACACTCCTAAGTCTCTCTCCCCATAAGCTAGGCGCCCCAGTCTGAACCACGACCACGGGCCGCCCCGACCACACGGCCCGCCCCGGGCACGGTTCACCCTAATGAGAATCAATCACCCCTCCTTGCAACTATTCGACTGACGCGACGCGACGTGGTGAACTTAAACTTTGTTGAATTAAAAATAGTAATTTTGAAATCCAATCGAATCTCAACGGTTCTCTCTAGAGAAGGAATATTCGTGAACAAGTACTCAACTATCTACTACATATCCGTAAAATACATGTAATAAACAAAATACACTCCGTTTTCTTACCACTGTTCCCAAAGGACAGCAACCCGACACGATCGGAAAGAGGTCAGACACAGAACCAACGGTATTATGAGATTTTCAAACATAATATACGTAGCTGCAATTTAATATTCCAGCTGTTCTAGCGTGTGGGTGAAACTACAATAATGTGATTTTAAGAATATCCGCCTGCGATCCGTCTGAGTTCGTCGCCGTCGTCTTAGTCGACTTTGATCCCGAGGGTAGCAATATTTTTGCGTCTACAATCCACTGAATATTATCTAATAATTTTCTAGTTCTTCCCTGAAGAACGTCATACACCAAACTATTTCACATTTTAACTAGCTAGCCTGGAAATGATTGTGACCACAAATAACGCTCAATCCGGTGGCTGGCCATTCAACCCCAAGGGTGAAATTATACAAAATTTTAAAATATAACACGCCGAACTCGCATTTTAAAATTTTACCTCTCAAAAACAGTCTTCTGTGAAACTGAATATGAATAAAATAAAATAATATTCCATTCAATTCGGATTTAAACGCATGGGTGCCTCGTACGTGTGTAAATAAACCTAGTACCGGCTACGAATGAATATTAATCATGTTTTCTGCAGCGCTGATCGGATCTGAATATTGAAAAATAACATATTCTCAACGTAGACTTTAATAAGCCATAAACTCACTAGATGGCAGTAGTAGTCGAAAGTCGTCAGTCTAAACTCAAATCACAAATACTGCATTTTGCCCTTTTGTAACCTACCTAATTTGTTTTTTTGTATTCAGTGTCTACTATATTGTTGAAAATAAAACGAATTAATAGAATTACGTATCACTTCAATGCAATCCTGTCGAACAAAAACTTGATAAAAAAAGCAACTTACCTGTGTTTCAAACCAAATTCCACATTGAAAGAGCAGCTTTAGACAGCTTTAAAGGAAATTAAAAGTTGTTCGGTTGCCTCGGTAGCTTAGCTTTGACGTTCTATTCGACATTCAAATTATTCAGCCCTGCAAGTTGGACGGAAAACAGCAAAGTAGGCGAGCGTGGCTCGGCTAGGACACAGACCTTATCTTTGAAAGAGTTTGTTCAACAGATGCAACTTTTATACCTTCTGATTTTATGTACATGAAAAACAAAAAGGCTAAGATAATGACGTCTACTGATTTATGTAGATGCGTAACTACTTTAACATACGTAAGTGTCCCAATGTTACCTACGTCTGCAACGGTCTGTCTCCCATTGGGATAGACATAACAGAATTGGTCCCCAATTAAAACTTATTTTCTTTAGGAGAAAATGAGAGGTATCAATAATGTTTGTATGTGTATCTATTGTCATATCTGCAAACTGATAATAATTAGCTACCTACTTCTAGCTCAGATTTCTGTGTGAGCAGTTGAATGAAGAGTTCCTAAGGAGTAAAGTTTCATCTAATGATTGGTATGTTGTTTTATGGAAACTACCGAGGCTTCCTACAATAAAAAAAAAATAAACAGACACCTTACCTTCGAACATGATGGTGAAGGGCAGCAGCGAGACAAACATCCAGGGCTGTACGTGGAATACCATGTCGACGGGGTTGTGGAGACCCAGCTTTGACTTCTGCATCAGTAGTTGCGCGAACGTCCATCGCAGACCAGCCGCGAAGGACGCGATGAGCAGGAAGTTGAAGCCAAGCAGGTTGAATTGCGTAGCCTTATAGGTGAACATTATGAGGCCCGCTGATATCATCAGCACTATGCCCACGAGAGACCACGACTGCAAAACAAATAAAGAATTTAAGTAATTTTTTCCCATTAAGTACTTACATTGAACTAAACTAGTATTCTACTCGTGGAAATTAGGACGGGTTTGGTTAACGTTATTTTTAATTTATTGAATTATTACACGAAAAACCAATAATAAAAATAATATAATATTGGACTAAAAAGACAAATAATCAGTAGTTATAACTACTAATAACGTAACGTCATTACAAGCTGTAGCCTATATGGTATTCTGATGTATGACCTACATTACTGTGAAGTTTCATTTAAATCCGGTCAGTACACACACATACACACGCACATCCGCACAAACTTTCGCATTTAGAATATTAGTAGCATTCATAACTTAATGCATCATAAACACCGTTAGGGTGGAAATATGGGGGTTACCTCAAAAGTTTTCCGGGAGTGTTGAAATTGGCAATTTTGTAGATTTTGATGTGCTTTTTCCTATTTCCTTGAAAAATGGTGGTCAATAACAGATTTTTTATAATATCTTTTTTCCTATGCATTTTACGTTCTCCGCGACAAAATAAGTACCTAGATTTGGCGTAAGAGCACCGCAAAGTACATCTCAGTCTCAATGAGGATTCAGGAGTAAAATTAATGACCACAGACCACACCACGTAGAGGTAGAAATTTTTAGTATTGATAATTATACACACTACAATCGCACATAGGCGATGTCTTCTTGGGCACTGTCAAAGGTGTTATTTTTAAACTAAAAAAGCATTACTTCAATGGCTGACCAATAAGAATTACGATGAAGTTGAATCCGTCCTGTGTACGTTCACATAGATAAAAAGAAACTAAACAACACTACACATACATTCACAGATACACGAGCACAACACTAATACACAGATTAAACATTCATAATATAACATAACAATACACATTCCTTCATACATTACATACACTTAGTGTGCGAACTAATGTATTCTAATTTCACATTACTTATTCCCTTTAATTTTCAGTTTATAATTTGTTTAATTCTAAATTTCTTTCTTTTTATTTATTTTTATAAACTTATGTTTAGCTGATGTCTTTGGTATAGTAGGATCGCCTACCACAAGCATTTTCAATAGTTGATGAAATAAATTATTATTATATTATTATAAACTAAAATCCTTGTAATAAATCTGCGAATTCGCATCGCAAATTTCAACCCTCCCGAAAAACATTCCGGACAGACCTACCAGATTACTGGACCAGCACGCATAGCATTCTTCTCCATAATCTAGTTAATTCTATTTGGATGAATTCAAATTTTTTGTATCTTTTTGTGTTTTGCATAATGAATGTGATTTCTCCGGAAGAATCTTGTTGATACATAACATAACATGATATCACGCCTTTTATCCCCGAAGGGGTAGGCAGAGGTGCACATTATGGCACTCAATGCCACTGTACAATGTAACACCCACTTTTCACTATTTATGTTATGAGTCCCATGTAATAGGGGGTGAGCCTATTGCCATATACCGGGCACATTTCCAGACTCCGTGCTCCGTGCTACTACTAAAGTTTTTACAAACCCAGTAATACTTTGCCCGCCCCGGGAATCGAACCCGAGACCCCTTGCCCGGCAGTCGCACTTGCGACCACTCGGCCAACGAGGCAGTCTTGTTGATACAACATTTAAATATTTTATTATTATTTTTATTTAAAGTTATATAGATTTAAGAAACATCTATTTCATTTACCAATCCATCAGTTTAATACTTGCCTAATAATTATCAAAATCTAAGTACCCATAGATAATGTTTTATAATTAAATCATTATTTGTGAATACAGTTTGAACTCATCTCGAAAAACAAATGTTGTGCACTCCTACGTGTATGAACCTCCTTTTTGTAATGCAGAAGTGATTGTACTATAGAGGTAGTTATACCTCTATAGTAAGTAACGCATTCACATTTCTAAACGCAATAAAAATTCTGCCATATCGAACAAAACATAAAAAACACGGTTTTCGTAATTGATGCTTTCATTCAGTACTTAGTAGGTTCGTGTTGATCCATGTACTATTAGTACTTCGATCTATGGTAACATCGCATGACTGTATAGACAAGACCTTGACTGACATTTGCTACTCACACGACACCAGTTCCCATACAAAATACGAAGATGGCATTATTCTTCGTAATGTTAGAAAACTGCTCCAGATAAATAGTTTTCTAGTCTGGTGTAAACTCTTTATATTTTATTCCTAGATATCCTATGTAATGTGAAGAATTTCCCAAAACGACATTTTCATACTTTTTTGCGACTCGACAATTTTTAAAATCACTTAAATAGAACCACCAAATCTGCACTGAGACTGAGGTAGATGCAAGATAGCTCGAATTTTAAATATATGTCACGTTACAAAATAACAGACCGGTAGGCCACAGTTAGTCATTATAAATGAAGCACCTACTTCAACAATGGGTATAAATATTTACACGGCTTTGATCGAATGATCGCAAGTACATATGACACATCAAGTTATACAATATCAGTATAAACTGATCGTGGAATGTTCGGAAAGGTCATATAAAGCGAGATGACGGTAATAATGTCATACAGTATTGCAACTTCATACAAACGAACGAAACGCGAGTTATATATCTATCTACGCGCCTCGATGTCGGGGTGCGCTCGATGCGCAGACTAGGGATGGCGATTCTTACTGAAAAGAATCGATTTTTAAATCGAATCGAATCGAATCGTGACGAATCGACCTGCCTGAAAACCTGATGAATCGACATATTATAAAAGTCGAGGTCTAAAAGAACGATTTCCAAAATTTCTATCCTTTTTTTTCAAATTAAATTTTACGATCTTTAAATAAGTAAAATCAGGGACTTCGATATTAAAAATAGTTTTATTTTTATTAACTTGTATTTGTATTAGGTACTTGATGATGCAATGTGTCATCAATCACAGTTCAGAGATACAATAAGTCAAAATTTATAAACGTAACTTGTTTATTGATGAGGAATTGAGGAGTGAGACAAAGGAGACTAAACATATAGCCGTCTCGCGAGTTTTTGAGTAAATAACCCGCAGCAGTTTGTAAAACCGGGCCTTTAACTAATTGTATGGTTTACACCAAGTCAAAAAAATCGTATGACGGTCTTAGGATGTCTGAGATCGTTCAATGCGTAGAATCGATTAAAAACATCGATTTTTTTACCCCAACAAATTTTGATCGTTTCTTCGATTAATCAATCTCAGATCGCCATCCCTAGCGCAGACAATCACGGTTATACCGCAGTCATGAACGGACGATGTGTTGTTTTTTTTTACATTAACCGCGCGGTTTTTCTCTAAAATCAGTTCGAAATTCGAATACATATTTAATATGACAAGTAGGAAATGTTGTGCTGTTTTTGATTGGATTTTTTTGCAAATATTTTTTGTTCGTAAATATATAAACCCGATACCGTTTACCAAACCAAACCATGTTTATTAAAATTAAATCGACCAATAAAAAAACAATACGCATTATTATTAAACACATATACAAAGTATTTTATTTTTTTATATAAAAAAAAAAAGATATGTACAATCACAAAACGAAGTAGAAACAGAAAACAGGCAAATGTAACTGGGGCTGGAGACGGGTAGCCCTAACGCATGTTTACGTACCTCGCGGCTGTCGTGTTTAACTCTGTCATGCAGCAGAGTTGCAATCACAGATTTATTAAAATATATCTGTGGTTGCAATACTGTATGATAATATTACCGTGGTGAGATCAAGATAAACTGAGCGGAGCCCCGGAAACCCGTTAGAAACATAACTATGTGTAGATATCACTAATGTGCGTATATAGTTATTATAGACGTTAATTGTATTTTGATTTTGTGTCTATTGTGTTGTATTAGGCCAAGTCCCTGTGACAATGGGAATTATAATTGAGAATTAACTAATTGATTGCTTTGTTGTTCATTATTATAATCGTAAACGTAGAGTTGTATATACTAATATCTAATAATCTATACTAATATTATAAAGAGGAAAGATTTGTACCTATTTTTGTATGTTTGTATGTTTGTAATGAATAGGCTCAAAAAGCACTGGGCCAATTTAAAAAATTCTTTCACCAATAGAAAGCTACATTCCTCCAATTTGACATAGGCTACATTTCATTATGAAAAAAAATAGGGATCCTTGGTAAAATTTGAGCAATGTAACCGAAGGTGTAGAAAAATGAGTCTTAAAATGTCTTTCGTCGAATGCGCTGCCGAAACTATTAGCCATAGAACAAAATAATGTACAAAAATATTGAAGAACATCATAATGTCTACAAAAAACTCTGCGGTAACATATGTCCAACTATTGTAGTTATGTCACTACAACAATCCAAATTTCCAAAAATAAATAATTGTCTACCCCGTGCGAAGCCGGGACGGGCTGCTAGTAAATTATATAGTAGCATACAGCAATGTCTAATTTTAAGTAGGTACCTCTACCTATATACCTACAAGACCCTACAACCCTAAAAAAAAGAAAAAAGCCCCGGATGTGCCTGATGCACATCAGGGTTTTTTTTCTTTTTTTTAAGCGGGGAAAATCATCGAATGACTGCTCCCACCTGGGTGAGGCGGGGGGGAGTGTCAGACTCTTCGTCGTGACTGACTAAAAACCACCCCGTTCCTACTCCTGCACGTCGACCCGGAGCCCCGGTAACCCGGTCTCGTTATGATTACTTTAAACGTAAAACTTACTCGTAATAAGGCATCAGAAGTACCTACGTAAAGAAAAATGACAAAAATTCAGGTTCTTATGATTTTTTAATAAAGGTTCCAGTAACATTATTGATTCTGTGCCGACACGTAGTGGCTGGTGTTAGCTATTTTTTATTCAATTAGGCATGACGTAGTCCCTTTACTTTATAATAGCAACACTGATACACCACGATATTTCATTCGTTACAAATAAAACTAAACTACGGTACCTACAATGTTTAACGAAGCGAAATATAGATGGCGCTCCGCGACTA